AACATGGCTTTCGTGACAGAAACACCAGAGATCACGTGATACAATCTTGCAAGACCAATGACTTCTTCACTGCAAATACCCTTTTTCAACAACATAAATGGCAACTATACATGTGGACCTAGCTGGATGGAATATACAGGAATCAAGTCAACTACATCTGTAGAAAGAGACGATGGAGAAGCTCAATATCATTCAGAACAAGGCCAGGGGGCGACTGTGGAACTGACCAGCAACTACTCATATGCAAGTTCAAGTTGAAGCTGAATAAAATTAAAACCAGTCCATGAAAGCCAAAGTATGACCTTGAGTATACCCTACCTGAATTTAGAGACCATCTCAAGAACAGATTTGATGCACTGAACACTAATGACCAAAGACCAGACGAGGTGTGGAATGCCATCAAGGATATCATACATGAAGAGAGCAAAAGGTCATTAAAAAGACAGGAAAGAAAGAAAAGACCAAAATGGACGTCAGAAGAGACTCTGAAACTTGCTCCTGAATGTAGAGTAGCTAAAGTGAATGGAAGAAACAAAGTAAAAGAGCTGAACAGAAGATTTCAAACAGCGGCTTGAGAAGACAAAGTAAAGAATTATAATGAAGTGTGTAAAAACCTGGAGTTGGAAAATCAAAAGGGAAGAACACACTTGGCATTTCTCAAGCTGAAAGAGCTAAAGAAAAATTTAAGCCCTGGGTTACAATATTCAAGGATTCTATGGGCAAAAAATTGAATGATGCAGGAAGCATCAAAAGAAGATGGAAGGAATACACAGAATCGCTGTACCAAAAACAACCGGTCAACGTTCAATCACTTCAGGAGGTAGCATATGATCAAGAATCAATGGTACTGAAGGAAGAAGTCCAAGCTGCACTGAAGGGACTGGTGAAAAACAAGGCTCCAGGAACTGACGTGATTATCAATTGAGACGTTTCAACAGATTGATGCAATGCAGGAAGTGGTCACCAGTCTATGCCAAGAAATTTGGAAGACAGCTACCTGGCCAAATGACTGGAAGAGATCCATATTTGTGCCCATTCCAAAGAAAGGTGATCCAACAGAATGGGGACACTATCAAACAATATCATTAATATCACATTAATATTACGCTAAAGATAATTCAAAAACGGTTGCAGCAGTACATCAACAGGGAACTGCCAGAAATTCAAGCCAGATTAAGAAGAGGACGTAGAATGAGGGATATCATTGCTGATGTCAGACGGATCCTGGCTGAAAGCACAGAATACCAGAAAGATGTTTACCTGTGTTTTATTGATGATGTAAAAACATTAGACTATATGGACCATAACAATTTATGGGTAAACACTGCAAAGAATGGGAATTCCAGGACACTTTAATTGTGCTCACGAGGAACCTGTACAAAAACCAAGAGGCAGTGGTTCGAACAGAGCAAGGGGATACTTCGTAGTTTAAAATCAGGAAAGGTGTGTGTCAGGGTTGTACTCTTTCACCGTACTTAGCAATCTGTATGCTGAACAAATAATCTGAGAAGGTGGACTAAACGAAGAAGAACGCAGCATCAGGATTGGGGGAAGATTCATTAACAACTTGCGATATGCAGATGACACAACCTTGCTTTTTGAAAGTGAAGAGGACTGGAAGCACTTACTGCCAAAGATCAAAGACTATAGCCTTCAGTATGGATTGCACCTCAACATAAAGAAAACAAAAATCTTCACAACTGGACCAATAAGCAATATCATGATAAACAGAAAAGATACAAGTTTTCAAGGATTTCATTATACTTGGATCCACAATCAACACCCATGAAAGCAGCAGTTAAGAAATCAGAGGACATATAGCACTGAGCAAATCTGCTGCAAAAGACCTCTTCAAAGGGTTAAAAAGCAAAGGTGTCACTTTGAGGACTAGGGTGCGCCTGACCCAAGCCATGGTATTTAAAACTGCCTCATGTGTGTACAAAAGCTGGACAATAAATAAAGAAGATAGAGGAATTGATACATTGAATTATGGTGTTGGTGAAGAACACTGAATATACTGGGGACTGCCAGAAGAAAGAACAAATCTGTCTTGGAAGAAGTATAGCCGGAATGCTTCTTAGAAGCGAGGATGGTGTTTAACATCATCTCACATACTTTGGACATGTTGTCAGGAGTGACAAGTCTCTGGAGAAGGACATCATGCTTGGTAAAGTAGCGGGTCAGCGAAAAAGAAGAAGACCCTCGACAAGATGGACTCACACAGTTACCGCAACGATGGGCTCAAACATAGCAACGACTACGAGGACCAAGCAGCGTTATGTTCTGTTGGACCAAGCGGCGTTTTGTTCTGTTGTACTTAGGGTCGCTATGAGTTGGAAACTACTTGACAGCATCTAACAACTAAAGCACAATGAAAAACAGAATATTTGCATAATTTATAAGGCTCTCTCCAGAAAACACTTATTAAATGCAAAGGGAAAAACAGTAACTTTACAGTGGAGAAACTTGGTAAACACCACCTTAACAAAGTAATCAAAGTTACATCACCAATAATGAGAGGTTATCAACATCACAAACCTCCTGATAAAATATGAAGGGAAGGACACAATCTCATGTGTGTGGTATTTTTGCCAAAAATTCATAACCTCCATCTAATCATGAGAAAACAATAGGCAACCCAAATTGAGGGACATTCTATAAGCTAATTGGTCAGTACTCTTCAAAAGCATCAAGATCATGAAAGTCAGTGAAAGACTGAGGAACTGGCTTAGATTAAAGGATGCTAGGAACATATTACAACTAAATGCAATGTAGGATCCTGGACTGAACCCTGGATATTAGCAGAATAACTGGTAAAATTTGAGTAAATTCTGTAGATTAGTTAATATAACTGTAGCAATATAAATTTCCTGGTTTCAATGATCGCACATGGTTATGTAAGATGTTAACATTTGAGGCAAACTCTGAAGGAACTCTGCATACTATTTTTATGATCTAAATTATTTTTAAAATTAAAAAAAAAAAAAGATTCCCTTCCAAGAGGGAAAAAAATCCTAGTTTCCTCTTATTAACACACACACACAAAAACCAATATACACTAAAATTAATTGCTTTTGATTCACTTGTGACACTAGAGTCACCTGTGACAACAGACTTACTGTTATTCTGAGCTGGTGGCCCTCAAAAACAAAGGTTTTATTGTTTATGAAAGCAAAAAACTAGAGACAATTTAGATATCCAACAAACAGTTGAGGAATCAGCTCATCAAAGTATAGTACAGCTATCATGTAAGCCCATGACAACTATACCCACCTTGAGCAACACCAAATCTTCACCTCCTAGTATCTGGCACATAGCTGAAACGCTAATATTTGGTAAAAGAATGAATCCATATGATGAACTATTACACAGCCATTTAAAAAAGATGATTAAAAATCAGTACTGGCCCATGAAAATACTAAGAACATCTAAAGTGGGGGGAAAAGTGAAATACAAAATAATATAATAAGAAGATTCCAATTATGTAATATGTACATTTATATATACAAAAAATACAAAATGAATTAGGAAGAAATGTATCAGAATGTGCATTTGGGTGGTGAAATTGCAAGTGATTTTTATTTTCATCCTCATAGTTTTCTCTATCTTCCAAAAGTTTTCTACCAAGGTCAAAAAAAAAAAAGTTCACTGGTTTTTTTTTTTGGTTTTTTTTACGTGTATACACACACACACACACACACACAGACACACAGACACACACACACAGACACACACACACAGACACACACACACACACACACTCCAATTTACCAGGTCTTTTCTATCCCTTTCCAGAATCATTTTATATTTTTTACATTTCATCCTTCTTCATCTGCAGTTCTATGATTCTTTCAGCAATAGCTTGTCAGAACAGATGAGCTACTTTCCATAGCTGATTTGAAAGTGCAGTTCTCTGTCCTACCGGATTGCTATGAGTCGGAATCAACTAGGTGGCAATGGGTTTGGTTGTATCATCCTCATAGAATGAGCCCTTAGAAAACACCTTGTCCTCTAGGTGGGCGTGACTTTATATAGAAAGAAGTCAGATAAAAAGATATAAAAAATTTTAAACCCCAAAGGATTAGATTTTAAAAAATTAAAACTCCACAGGATTTAAGGGAATTTAATACAACTGCGGTTTGAGCCTGAATAAACTTCAACTATACTTTTTTAAGTCTATACACTACCCTGGCTCTTGGAAGAGAATCTTACAGAAGACAGTGCACACCGATGCTGTTGGTGTGAAGGCACCAGGAAAATTAGATGCAGCCTGCAAGAGGAGAACCCCATTCCACCCACATTTCTCAGATATCCCAGGCACTGCCCCTAACTTGCATCTATTACTTAAACTACCCCATACTTAAACTGACAGATCACTTAATATGTCCCAGTCAAAAGGCTGGAAACCCAATCAACCCAATGTGAGTTAAGAACATTATCCTGCAAGTTCGCTCCGGCCAAACCCGTTCTGACAAACCCTAGCTCTCCTAGCTCCTGGGATTTCCTAGAGAAGCCTAAATGTTGGGCCGCTGTGAGCTGGTCTTTCCAAAAAGCGCCCTGCACTCAGCTTCGCCGACTCTTCCGCCCTCCACCGCCCCCCGCACCATCTCCTTCCCCAAAGGTCTGAAGCCCCCCACGACCCTAATCCTGACTCCACCAGCCCCAGATTTCGGCCTCACCATCCTTCTTCCCACTGTTCACTCTCAATCCCTTTGCCCCTTCCTCACACCTGCGATCGCCAGTCCCCCACACCTTCACTTCTCCCTCCCCTATTAAACTCACCCTTACCCCCACCTCAGATCCCATCCCGGTCCTACTTCCCTATTCCCGCGACAGCCAGCACCGACAGGAGCCAGAGAAAGAAGTGCGGCCTCCGGGAGGAGTCCCGGGAGACGTCCCGCCGTATCCCGCCGGCCAGGGTTCAACGAGACGCACTGACCCGAGCTCCGCGCCGCGGAGGGACACAAGGGTCGGGGCCTCTCGCCCCCTCCCCCACTCACCCGCCGCCGCGGCGCTCCACGTCTGCGGGGGCGGGCCTGGAAGCGGGAAAGACCGGGATGCCAAGCCAGCGGACGCTCGCCGCTGGGGGCGGGCCGGGGCCTGCAGGCCGGGCGCCCCCTGGCGCTGGGCGTGGCGGGCGTTGAGGGGCCTAAATGCCGTGACGCGCAGGCCGGGCGGGACTGCGGCCGGGAGGCAGGGCCTAAATGGGCCGTCACTCCGAATGGGGGCGGGACTTCACTGGGAGTGCCGACCGGGCGGGGGCGGGTTTGGAGAAGTGATCCTCGCTGGGATGTGGCACCGAGGTGGAACGGCCCGTGAAAGGGAGAGGCGGGCCGAGTACGCTGTGACACCAAGCGGGGCAGGACCGCGGCGGGGGAGGCGGGGCCTCGATGGGCTAGGACTCCGAATGGGGGCGGGACCTAGCTGGGCTGTCTCTGCGACCCGGGGCGGGGCTGGAGAAGGAGCGTGCCTCTTTTCCCACTTTTCCATCCCAGAAGGACCAGGACCCAATTTTCTGGTCATCTTCAAGTATAAAAATAAATCTTGTTTTAATTATGTCTCACTTTCAGGTAATAAAAACCGAGATCCAATTTATGACTAAAACCCCACGTCCAACTAAAGCCAAAGTATGTACTTACAGTGCCCTATGGGGGTCCCAGCTCCATCTCCCCTAAATCTCTCTGAAAACCTCTTGTACCTGCCCTGGCCACACTGGTCTCCTTTCTCTTCCTAGAACTCGCCATACACTCTGCCACCTTCCATTGCAGGGTCTTTGCCGTGGCTGCTTCCTCTACCTGGAAGGCTCTTCCCCAGATGTCTGCTGGGTGTGCTTCCTCACCTCAGAGTCTTTGCTCGAATCTCACCTCAGTGAGGCCCTTTCTGACCATCCTGTTTAATACCTGCTCTCCCCCATCCAAGGAGCCCTTGTGGTGGTGCAGTGGTTAAAACGCTTGACTGCTAACCAAAAAGTTGGCAGTTCAAACCCAACAGCCGCTCCATGGGAGAAACATGTGGCAGTTGGCTTCCAAGGAAACCCTTCCGGTAGGTAGTTCTACTCCGTCCTATAGGGGAATGACTCAATGGCAGTGGGTTTTCTCCCCCATTCCATCCACCTCTCCCCCATCTCCCCTTACCCTATTCCACTATTTCTACTATTTCTTTTTTTCCACATCACTTAAGTGTAGATATCTTTGTGGTTTTGTCCACGGATATATACCTAGTACCTAGAACAGCGTTAGGTCCGCAGTGGGCAAGCAATAACTCTTTGTGGAAGGAAAGAATAAACAAACAAATTAATGTTTCCTCTCTCCCTCCGTCCAGCTCAGACCAGTCTGAAGACTCAGAGTCCCCAGAGTGGGGAAGAAGCCTCCTCTTCCGCTAGTGGGGAAGAAGACTAGGGGAAAGAAGCAAGCGCCTAATTACTTGGTAGAGCCTGTTTGTTGTTCTTTCTAGACCCTTGATGCCCTGTCATAGTAGGTATCTAAATGCTGGCATTTTCATGCGGTACATTTTGGAGATTTTCTTCCCCACCCCCACCTCCCCGCCCCCTGCCTCCCATCTCACTTTGGCCTCTTATTGCCTGGAAGGCTACCCCTCCTGTTGTGCCTCATCAAGGCTACAGACTGGCTACATTTCACAATATCTACTTACCCATTTAGAGCTACAAATCCTTGTCAGACCAAACCAGTATAAGGGCCCGCACCTTTCTGCTGCCCTTTCTCCTTGTTGTTGGGGACTACTCCAGCTTCCACATTCTCTAGGCAGAAGTAGGCACCTGTCTGTGTTCACGTTTGCTCCCAGATCTCGAGGTCGCACATAAGGCTTTCCCAGTACTCCCTCACCAAGCACACCTCTGGTGCTCTGAATTGGCTTCAGCATGGGGGCTTAGACATATGCCCAGCCTGGGAGTGAGCTGCCCAGCTACCCTCCTCAACGGCCCATGTAGGCACAGTAAATGATCCTCTCCGAGCCTTGCTACCTCAGCTACAGCATCCTATGAGGACCACAGCTCACAATGTTACTGGCCAGTTATGGTATGGATGTCTTTTAGCAAATCCTGCATGAGTATGTCCAGAGACTCTCTCTCTCTTTTGAAAACAGAGACAAATTGTTCATGAGCTTCAATAGATTTAGGCATTAATTACTCATTAGAGTTTTTTTTTTTTTAATTACAGTCGTCCCATCTTCTCTCTCTTGAACTTACAGCCATCCCTCCATATAACTTCATCTTCCGGCATTTATGTGGCTGGAAGAATTGGAAAAAATAAAATTTGAATGGGAATATAAAAAATTCCTTTCGCACAGGCAACCCTATTTGATCTTCACAATGAACAAATTAAAACTTTCTGTTAAGTATGACAAAAGTAATTATTGAACAATACAAATAGCAGACCTGAGCTAATGACGTGGATCCTTATAACATTTATCTATTGCTGCATAACAAACCACTACACAGAATTAGGGATTCCCTTTTCCAGCTCTCTCCTGCAATCTCTCCTCTGTGGAAGGATTTCCTCCACACTTATTGGCTCCCAGAAGTCCCTTTTTCCAGTTCTGCTAGCCAGAAAGATGGGGCTTCTTTCAGAGTTTTATCTTCCTATGCCACGCAGTTCTGTGCAACTGGGGCTGACCTCAGGGCAAAGTGTCCAGAGAAAAGAAAGAATAAAAAGAACAATGATTTCCCCAATACTCTTTACAAAACCTTTTCCCCACTTTCTCTGTCCAGAGGGACAGGTTTTCTCTCTGAGTCTCAGGTGCTCATGTCACTGTGCCACAGCAATGCAGCTCTGTGACTGGGGCAGCCTCAGGGCAGAATGAGGAGGAAAAACAATCAGGGATTTCCTCCATTTAATCCAGCTTGCAGGAGGAGCCTTTTTTCCTGGTCCTGTGACTAGGAAGTCTGGTTCCTCTCCGTCATGGATTGAAATGTGTTCCCCAAAAATATATATCATTTTAGCTAGGCCATGATTCCCAGTATTGTGTGATTGTCCACCATTTTGTCATCTCATGTGATTTTCCTCTGTGTTGTAAATCCTACCTCTGTGATGTTAATAAGGTAGGATTAGCAGCAGTTACGCTAATGAGGCAGGACTCAATCTACCAGATTAGGTTGTGTTTTAAGCCAATCTCTTTTGAGATATAAAAGAAAGAATCGAGCAGAGAGTCATGGGGAACTCATACCACCAAGAAACAAGAGCCAGGAAAATAGCATGTCCTTTGGACCCAGGGTCCCTTTGCTGAGAAGCTCCTCAACCAGGGAAGACTGATGACAAGGACCTTGCCCCAGAGCTGACAGAAAGAAAAGGCCTTCCCCTGGGGCTGGCACCCTGAATTCAGATTTCTAGCCTCCGAGACTGTGAGAGAATAAATTTCTCTTGGTTAAAAGTATCCACTTTGTGGTATTTCTGTTACAGGAGCCCTAGATAACCAAGGCACTCTAAGATTTTTTACTGGTAGTGTCTACTGCAGTTCTCAGTTCAGCCAGCCCTGGAGTCAAAGCCAGAAGGTAAAGGAGAGAGAAAAACAAAACAAAACTCAGAAATCTCACCACTGCCATATTTATCTTTCTTCAAGTTTTGACTCCCTTACCCAAATCATCTGCTATTATTTACTTTTCAGAGTCCTCACTTAATTCTTTTTCATATTTTGTCCAGATAGAGTTTTTAGTTGTAATCAGTGGGAGAAAGAGGCTAGAGTGGACTCACTCCATTTTGGCCAGAACTGGAATTTATCGCTCTGAAAGATGAAAACATGTTTTAATTTGCATTTTTCTTATTACTTATGAGGTTGAGGGCATCTTACGATGTTAAAGAGACATTTTTGTTTCATTTTCTGTGAATTTTTAATATATAAATTTTATATATAAATACATATTCATGTATTTTGTCCAATTTTCTACTGGATATACAAACTATATAATAGCAAAAATAGTCCTTTCTCTTAGGTATGAATGTTAAAAGTTTTTCACAGTTGCGCATTTGTCTCTTGACTTTTCTTACGCTGTTTTGTTTGTTGGTTTTGCCATGCAGAACTTTTTCATTTCTAACTGATCAATTTTGTCTTTTACTGCTTACTACTTCTAGGTTGTATCATACTTAGAAAAGACCTTCATCTCTCTTAGATTTCTTTGAAAATCCTTCCATGGTTTCTTCTTTACGTTTTGTATGTTTTTGGCTTTTTTTTCTTTTAAAATTTGACGCATCAGAAAGTTATTTTGATGTGAGGTAAGTGGAATGGATCCAACTTTACTCTATATCTTAATAACTACACAGCAGTTAACACTCTAGGCTGTTAAGTGAAAGGTTAGAGGTTTGAGTCCACTCAGAGGCACCTCAGAAAAAAGACTTGGCAATCTAGTCTCACAAAATCGGCTCCTGAAAATCATACAGAGCAGTTATACTCTGACACACATGGGGTTGCCATGAGACACAACTGACTTGAGGGCAACTGGTACTGGTACACATTTGCCCAGCCCCATTTAATTAATAATTCATCTTTTCCCTACTGATTTAAAATTCCACCATTATCTTATACTAAATTTCCTTCTGTACTTCTGGACTTGCTATTCTGGTTCATTAATCTGTTGGTTTATCCAGATTCATTCAACAGATTCATATTGTTTTAATTTCTGAAGCCTTGAAATACATCATTTTCTTTCTTTAAACTCTTCAATGCAGTCAGAAAAGTTCTTGTTTTCCGCATTTATATCGTAACTGTCAATTGTAGCAGCCACTGAAGCCCTGTGTTCAGTAAACTGTTCACCCAGGTGACCACAGGTGACAATTTATGTAACTGTTTTCCACTGCATGCCTTCAATTTGTAGTAACCCATTTTCCACGGGTGGCAAGGTCATGATTGTCTTCAAACCAGCCAGAACAGATCCAGTCCCAGATCCCCATCTTGAGGGTCTGATTCCTGCAACCACTTCCAATGCCAAATATGTCAGTCAAGTTTCAGTGCAGAAAACAGAAACCACATTATGTATTTAAAGCAGGAAGAGATTTAACAGAGAATTTAGTCCTTACAAAATCACTGAAAGGTCTGGAGAAGCAATTCTAGGCTGGACATCTTGGAATGAACAACGTTGCTTTGCTCAACTGGCCCGCTGCTACCTCTGTGGCTACTGGAGCTTTGCCAGGTCTGGAGCCACTGCCACTGCCTGAGGAG